CCCTTTTGCATTAAGCTGTCTCAGAGTAGGCTGATAGGGTCAAGTACATATATAACGTTGCGCAATACTTTATAATCCCGAACTGTTGGTCTCCCCGCGCCACCAACGTGGTTCTTCGGCATGCTGAGGATGCGGGGTTCATCGTAACACTGCTGTTCCAGGACCACCAAGCTCTACATCGAAGTTGAGTCTTTGTAGATGGCGGCCGTCGTTTATAACTGCTCTTTACGAGCGAGAGCTCCTGGGTATGGTTCCTGGCAGGTGTCTCATAGTACATGATATATACCCCTTTTCGAAGAGTCGTCAAAGCTGCCTCGGAATACGTAACGGACAGGCAGATTCCATCTCCTCTTGTCGTCTTGTGGTTTCAAGTGTAACGTGTGGATCGTCAAGGCACCCTACCTATACAAGTATTGTTCGGGCTATCAACTCCGAACAATTGAATACCCGACTCCAAGTCCCGTCGAATACGTATATAAGTAGGTACAAATAATACATACATCTCAGCAGAACCGAGTCTCCCAGGTCATGCGACAACTGCTCCTCTCCAGCTTTCAAAGCCCAAGATAGAAGGATACCACTCGGTTTTTTTTTTTTTTTTTTTTTTTTTTTTCGTATGCTAGCTAGCTCCGGTCTTGTCCGTCACGATAGACTAGAAATACCTTGGCCCATATAAACACACTCGAGATATCTCCCCCCAACAGCTACCATGGACTTCAGTCGATGGGGACAGCCGAGCAAGGAATGGCTCGCCTTCGTAGCAGCTAACCCCGAGGTAGTGGCACGCCCCGACGACGACCTCCCGCCCCTGGTGCAGCAGGAGAAGATCAACATCGCGCGTGCTACGGTTTCCAAGACTCTTGTCACCGCCACAGCGCTGGACAAGCTCGTCGTAACGCAGGACCACGTCGTGCCCACGCGTGACGGCAGCTCCATCACCGTGCGCAGCTACCGGCCTATCTTGCTGGGGTCTCAGACGCTCCCGGCTTACGTCTACTACCACGGCGGCGGATATATGTTCGGCGGGGCGGAAACCGAAGTCTTCAACTGTTCGTGGATGGCCCACGCGCTGTCCATCAGCGTCGTCCACGTCGTATACCGCCACACACCCCAGGTCAGCGGCTTGACCCCGTGGCACGACGCGCTCGACGGCTTCGAATGGGTCACCGCGCATACCGAGTCCCTCGGCGTCGACCCGTCTCGCCTCATGGTAGGAGGCCTGTCGGCAGGCGCCAACTTGACGGCGAGCGTAGTGCAGAGCGAGTTGCGCCGAGCACGGGAAACCGGCTCGCCTTGCCGGGTCAAGGGTCAGATACTCGGCATTCCGAATCGTGCGTGGCTTTTTCTTTTTAAATCTCGACTTCGAGAAGATTGATAGTCGGAGGGGACGTTTTAGAAACGGCGTTCCTAAGACACATCTCAAGACTTCGGATATTCCCCTTCTCCCTACCCTTCTAAGAACTTGCTAAATTTTGTCATCGCAGTGGTGCAATCCAAAGCGTTTCCGTGGCACCTATTTGCCGACAAGGAAAAGGTATCGATAGTGCAATGCGCTGATGCCGCTGTCATACCAAAGCATCGGATAAAGCTATTCACTGAGTTGTTGGGCAACGACGTTGATCATGCCGACCAAACTTGGAGCCCTGCTCTAGCAGAGGAGGATGACCTACGCGGCATGCCACCCACGGCCTTCCTCATATCGGGCTGGGATCCGCTGCGGGACGAGTCTCTGTGGTACGCTGGGAAGTTGAAGAATGCCGGGTAAGTAACTCTCACCGGTCTATCGCTGAATGAATGGCACGCGACAGTGTTGCTGACGTTACCTGCAGCGTCCGGACAAAGGTCCATATCTTCCCCGGACTTCCTCACGCCTTCAGCTCTTTCAGAAAGCTGCCGTCTCATAGGCGGTGGAATGAAGTGCTGCTCGACAGCCTCCGTTGGGCGATGGCAGATGACGACGGGTGGATAGTCGAGTGGCCTCCCGTGATGCCTCCTGCTATGGAAGGAGCTGCAGCAGTTACCAGTTCGACTCAACCAGTGACAACTGGAGTTACTCCCGCCAATGCATAACAAGCTGCGAACATATGGTCAATGTATGAGACACGAGCTAGGGTCTTGTCTCATTTAGGTACCTAGACAAAAATACGCATAGGGGACTTAGCTAGAGAATCTCATAGATTTAGTATGCCGGGCAGGCGTTGATATTTATACGAGTCCTCGTCGAATCAGCGTGTGTCGCCCCCATCACTTTGGCTTCCAGTCCCCCGGGGAAAGAGAGAAAAGAAATTAAGAAAACACGTCGTGCGGAGAACTAGAAAACCGACATCGCCTCATCTCCGCGATATTCATTCAGATTTTGTCGAAACCACATGGATAGAAAGACAGCCACAACTAACCTATGCGAAGCATGCGTGACACTCGATCTGACTCGAGAAGACTTTGAGAAAACTATCGGTCTGCTAAATGACAACGACACATGGTTCGAGGAGGCCGTCATTAGCGGGCGATGGGCTGACCTGAAAAGCAGCGCCGAGACTTGCCGTCTCTGTCGCTTATTCCAGCATGCTCTCACTCAGAACTTGGTGTCCTGGGACCACTCGGTCGACGTTCAGGACGTCGAGTGGGCAGCCGGCTGGGCAGCGTGCAATATCGAATACCAGCCGCTGGAAAACATCGAGTCGGCACGATCATGCTCAGGCCTCGTTCCGGTATTTACCCACGGGGCGGAGACGAACGGGAACCACTGCATCCAGCTCTTCGACGACGAATCGGCGCGAGTGCTATTTCGAGCAAGGCTGCCTACGACGCAGGTTAACACCCGTATGCTCAAAGGCTGGATGGACTGCTGCCACAGGGAACATAGTGACACCTGCGGCACGCTGGGATATGCTCCGGCATCGCGGGCCGTGCAGAGTCTCTTCGTCGACGTGGTGGATAAGTGTCTTCGACTCGCAGATACTCGAGTAAAGTACGCCGCCCTTAGCTACGTATGGGGTCTTCGCAACGAACCTCAGTCGCGTCGTGCGGACGGTTCTGTAGACCGATTCATAATCCCCGGGGCCTTCCACAATGTGGAACTCCCTCGAACCATAGTAGACGCTATGGAGGTTGCTGAGACCTTTGGGTACCAATATCTATGGGTTGATTCGCTGTGCATCATCCAAGACCTTCAACAAGAGAAACTCCAGCTTATCAATGCCATGGACTTGATCTACGGCCAAGCGGATCTGACCATCACGGCTGCGTCTGGAAGAAGCGCCCAGGAGGGGCTCAGCGGTTGGCATGTCGAGACGCGTCTGTCGGGCGCGCGCAGTATAGCGCGTTACGGGCCCGAGTTGGTGCTGGGAGTCTTGCCGGAGTTTGAAGAGAGCTTCATGAAATGTCCATAGATGTATAGGGGCTGGACGTAGGTTTCGATTTTTTGACGCCGCTCTTCTTTGTCAGTAGCGCTGCTTGCTAACTGAGAATCCTTTAGACTGCAGGAGAGTATACTGTCGACGCGGTGCTTGGTATTCTTCGAAGGTCTCGTTTGCTTTTGGTGTCGGAAGTCGTTCTGGTGTGAAGATATCGCTCTCGAGACGGCTGTGGACTACCAGAAACCCATGGGCACCTGGCCAGGAACAAATCACAATAGACTGCCGCTCGCTAGATATGAGCAACTCGTCATGGACTATACTTCTAGAAAGCTAACTTACGCGGACGACATTCAGCGTGCGTTTGTGGGGAGTCAGAACTTCGTTGGCAGTCTCTTAAGGAATACCCGTTGGTTCCACGGTCTCCCTTCGGTTGTTTTCGATTGGGCGGTTATGTGGCATTCTCTTTACTCCATCCCTCCTCAGAAGCTAGAAAGACGACAAGGATTTCCAAGCTGGAGCTGGATGGGCTGGCAAGGACCGTCTGCCGCAGCTCGGATTAAAGAGCTCTATTCTCACTCGCAATGGCTCGTTGACAGAACTTGGATAGACTGGTATATCGTCGATGACGGACGTCTTGTGTGTATATGGGATCCTCACCGGGATCGTACTTCGACAGAGGCACGGCTAGATATCGTCCAAAGAGGTAGAGCGAAGAGGAGAATTGAGTTGGTCCCGCACTATGGAATGCCGTCTTCGAATAGTCCCTTCGGCCGCAATCCTCGAAGATATTCGCTTGCTCGACGATTCCCAACATCCGTTCTTCCCCCAACAGAAAAGTCTCTTGGGGTCCCGTTGGATTTCCCCTATTTGGTGTTCTCGACTCTCAAGTGCACATTCGAGCTCACGATGCTGCGAGACGGTCAACCTATTCTCAGAGACAAAGCGGGTTTGCTGTGTGGCATCATATATGATGAAACGCTGCCTGGAGCTTTCCCCTGGCGTGACTCCAACTCATCACTGGCCTCTTTCTGCCAAGAGGTTGATGTTCTCACCTTATCCTATAGCGGCGCAGATAAGGCGCGGTCTTATAGAGAATATTGGCCTAAAGATTCAGCCTCCTATGGCTATCCGAAAGACTGGGATCACACAAGAGACGGCGAATACTTCGATGCTGACCCCTATTTTCTAGAGGATCCCGAGTATCACGTAGACGAAGACGGAGTGCCGAAAGCTCAGTGGCATTCGTGGACCTTCTTGAACGTATGGATTGTCCATCCTCACGAGACGAAACCAGGGGTTTACGAAAGGTTTGCTTCTGGCATATTGCACGAAGACGCTTTAGATCATGGGTTAAAGCCATGTGAGTGGGAACAGGTGTGTCTGGGCTAACGAAAGTATATAGTTTCTCGTGTTGGAGTAGATGTTGGTTCGTTTCCCCCTTAGGATGAAAAGCTCACCAGCTTAGGACCTCAACCTTTGACGTACGGAGGAGAGCAGCCTGCCCTTGCCTCCAGCTCTTCAACCGCAAACTCTACAAGTGCTTACCTTACATATCATACATTTACATCATACCTCCACACACTACAACTATCTTAATATACACAGTTGTACAAGCAGACGCACAAGGCACTCGCGCCAGCACAATCTCGATTAGTATAGTGGTTAGTATGCCGGCTTGTCACGCCGGAGGCCGGGGTTCGATTCCCCGATCGAGAGCAGCCTTTTGCATTCTCCTCTGCCTCGCTTTTTGTTCTAGGAGTCCGTGGTGTAGTATACGAAGAAAAGGGCTTAGACCATGGTTGTAACCCAGCAATTGGCTACGATTTGACGGGTTTGGAGGTGTATGGCGTCTCTGCGACGGATGTCATCACGATATGATTTCGGTGCCCGGCGAGATATATGCATTTTTAATACAATCAAGGGGCTAGCGCGATTTCACGTAGAATACGCATGTCGAATGTAGTAAATCAACCTCGCTTGGGCGAGAGCGCAGACAGGTAGTATTAGTCGGTATTACAGTAGGCCACTGTTGGGCACTTGGGGTATATGTTGGTAGCAACTGATATGATACAGCAAAAGCAAACCACAGCTAGAATATGCCTCTATGCTTCCCGCACTCGAACTGAAGGGATGATTGCGTGCTCTACTCGTCGTCCAGTATTCGGGTAGCTATTTGCCCGAATATCGGCACTTCGAATCTGTACAGCGTGAGAATACGGGCCATCTTGAGGCTGGTCTCAAGCTTCTTACCTGTCTAATGTGTCCGCATCTCGATACGCGCGCAGGGCTAGCCAGCCCATGAGACACAGGTCCGCGATGAAGATAACCCAGCTTAGGAAGGTCGACCAGGAGAAGATGAGGTGCACGATGAAGACGACGGTGAAAAGAAGGCTCGACTGCCAAGCGTGGAATCTGTACGAGTAGAACATGTTAGTGGCCCCGAGATGAAGAACTCGACGTATAAATCCTGCATTGATGTTTGTGCTTTTGTCATCTCGCTTTAACCATTGACCTTATCCCTCTCTCCCGTACAACTCCTCCAGGCGTATATCGGAACTACGAGAGAACGCACCTCACGAAGTCGCTCTTGCGCTCAAGGATCAACAGTATGATGGCACCCAGCGGCGGTAGTGCCAGGTAAGCTAGACAAGCTTCGTAGTCCAACCTGATACCCAGACTCGTATCGAACTCGCTCACGTATGGTCCAGCCTCGGAAGCGTAGCCGCCGTTAGGTAGCGTAGGCTGCCAGGAGCGCTGGGGTTGGGGATGCTGAAGAGGCGGCGGGGAGGCGAAGCCAGCTCGTTGCTGCTGCGAGGGAGAGAATGGCCGTCGGTTGTCGAGCGAGGCGCGAGGAGATGCGATGTTCGAGAGGGCAGGCGACCAGGGTCTGTTGTTCTCCGGCGGAGAGGACTGGTAGGGGGCAAAGTCCATCTCGAGCGATCAGCTTTGTCGAGGGTACGGGAACGGACGGACAGGAGTTGGATTGGGGAGAGGTGTGATTTAGCCGGCAGAGAGACGAGCCAGAGACGTTACATAGACACGCACGAGGATGACGTTGCGCCGTGAGTTTTGGGAAGTTCTAGGCTTGGATTCCAAGACAGCGGAACGCGATGCGACAGGGCAGCAGGGACAGAGGGAGCTTGTCTCGCCTGTCAGCTAAGCTAAGCTAACCTGAGCTAAACCCAGTTAAGCTAGGCCAAGCAAGGGACAGGGACTCCTGCACGCGACCTGCAGCATAGGCGAGCTAGGTTATAAGTGACTTGGTCTGATAATTAAATATGCACGTAATATGCGTTTATCTATACTGTATACTGCACAGAAGATATATAAAAGACGACCACCATCAGAGCTGCGTGAGTGTATATACCATACTCACTTTTAGAAACATCTGCATTGCACTTTACACTCATGGTATATCCCGCCAAGGAGCAGCTGTAGGCAAAGCTGCCTGGGTAAATAGCAATGTGAAGAAAGCAGAGTGCCAACTTGCACACAAATAGGGATGATTATATGACAATGAAGAAAGGTGAGAAGAAACATTGGTATATAGAACTCAATGCTAGAGCTCCGATTCTTCTTTGATACATATTTCATCATTATATACAGCCCCGGACATCATAGGTCTACGTGCTATCCTCTCCCTCCTTCTTAGCCCCTCCGTCCGCTTCCTCGAGCTGCGTGCGCCTGCCCTCCAGCGCGAGCCACAAGCCCTTGCTGTGGCCCTCGAGGGCCGTCGTGAGACCCAGGCCGGCGCTCTGCAGCATGGCGACGAGCTGCGCCCGCAGACCCTCGACGCCGCCCTCGATGCCGCCGACCCACTTGACGCCGTCCGTGTCGAACACGCGGCCCTCTATCCTGCCGCCCACCAGGAGCAGCTTCTGCAGCCCGCTCTGCGTCGTTATGCCGTGGTACCCGGGGTTCTTCTTCCGCGAGGGCGCCGGGAACGCCGGCGGCGAGGGCGCGAGCACCGAGAGCGTCGCCGCCAGGTGGGCCGGCGAGACGGCCGGGAAGGTGACGGCGGCGATGGGGCCGGTCAGCAGCGGGCTAATCTGGCCGTACGCCGAGGTCTCGTCGACGGTGGCCTTCGATATGGTCTCGTAGGCCGTGGCGGACAGGTCGTGCTTGTAGGCGTTGGATTTCCCGGCCTGCGCGTCCGCGTTGAAGAACTCGACGATCTTGAAGGCAACGTCGAACATGCGCGTCCGGACCACCTGGATGTCTATGCCCGACCTGACGTCCAGCGGGAGCCCGCCGTCAGGCCCAACGACGGGGCCCGGGACCTTGGCCAGGGCTGCGCGGAGCTCCCTTCGGATAGCGGCCCATTCTACGGCTGTCAGGTTGCTGTGCTGGAAGAACAGGATGAGGGGTGTCGAGCGGAGCAGAGCAGTATAGGATCGGATAAGCTGGGCTTTCCGCTGGTCGGGTCGCCGCGCGCTAGGTGGTTGGGTCGGTGGGATATAATCGTCGGGTAACTTCAAGGAGCCAAGCGGTACTTGAGAAGCGGATGCGCTCGCATAATTCCTCCTCGACGTGACCTTCGAAGTCTGTGCTACGACGGCTGCAGGTCTTTGAGAGCTCGTCGATCTCTGCAGTATTTGACTCAAGCTAGTCGCGGCCGAGCAATTGACACGGGGCGGCATTGTGAAGGCTTGTGCTTGAGCCTGAGATATCGTGTGTTGGCTGGTATTTGTTACGATATTGCTTTAAAATTATTTCGACGAGCTTCAAACTTGATTCGCCCGATTGGCGGTACATGGGTACCTGATCTATCTGCCGCCAGTCACCGCCCTAGTTGGAGCTCGGGAGGGAATCGGCGCAGGGCACAGGGGTAAAATTAGGGGTGCAGCAGCGGTTAAGCATTAGGTGACATTAGGGAACCGTTAGGGACCTCGTTCCCCGCTAACCCCTCCATTAAAAATGGCGGGGCATCTCTCATGCTGGCCTTCAAGGACGCTCCCCACGAGTCTTGAGTCTTGTCACCGGTAGCTCTCCTTTAAGCTAACCCTCGTACGTGTTAGCAGTGTCTCTAGCTACAGGCCCCAAGAGATCCCGTACGATGACCGACTTCCAGGACATCAGGCCGCTCCTCCAGCGCCTCTGGCCTGACCCTGCCAAGGAGAACGTGACGGCATATGAGATCGCTGGGGCGCTGTCGCTCATCTTCACCAACCAGCTCAGTCCCGTGCAGACTGGCTCGCTGCTGACTGCGCTTCACTTTACCGGATGGGATCGCCGCGCCGACGTGCTGGCTGAGGCCTCTGCCGCCATGCGCCGCCACGCCGCCAAGATCGACTCTTCGCGTCTCGAGTCCGCCATCGCGAAGCGGAGGAGGCCCGAGGGTAAGTATGGCGGCGGCCTGTGTGACATTGTCGGCACCGGCGGCGACTCCCACAACACCTTCAACATATCGACCACCTCCTCTATCCTCGCCTCCTCGCTTCTGCTGCTCGCCAAGCACGGCAACCGCGCTTCCACGTCCAAGTCAGGCTCGGCGGACCTGCTCATGAGCATGCAGCCCAAGCCGGCGCAGCTGGGCCGGATCACCCCCGACACCATCTCTACCGTGTACGGGGAAACCAACTACGCCTTCTTGTTCGCGCCCGTCTTCCACCCGGGCATGAAGTACGTGGCCTCGGTCCGCAAGGAGCTCGGCTGGCGCACCATCTTCAACCTGCTCGGGCCCCTGAGCAACCCGCTCGGGGACGCCGTGGAGGCGCGCATGCTCGGCGTCGCCCGCGACGACCTGGGCCCCGTGTTTGCCGAGGCGCTGCGGATAGCAGGCGCCAGGAAGGGCCTGGTGGTGTGCGGCAAGGAGCAGCTCGACGAGGTGTCCTGCGCGGGCCCGACGCTGTGCTGGCAGCTCGTCGAGCACGCCAGCGGCTCCGTTGATGTCGAGCACTTCACGCTGGAGCCCGCCGACTTCGGCCTCGGCGCCCACCCGCTCGGCACCGTCTCCCCCGGCCGCGAGCCGCACGAGAACGCGGAGATCCTGCGCCGCCTGCTGCAGAACGAGCTGCCGCCCGACGACCCGATCCTCGAGTTCGTGCTCATCAACACCGCCGCCTTCCTCGTCGCCTCGGGCATCTGCGAGGCGGACGCGAGCAGCATGGGCCCCGGCGATGACGGTCAGGTTATCCGAGAGAGGGGACCGGGAGGCGGCCGCTGGAAGGAGGGGGTCCGGAGGGCCCGCTGGACGATCCAGAGCGGTGAGGCTTGGAAGCAGTGGAACGCCTTTGCCGAAGTTACGAACAGCTTACCCGCGTAGAAAAATCACGGTGCTATTTATTGTCTTCTATTTGTTAAGGAGGATATGGGATTTCCTGGGCTGTAGTGAGGGCTTCGCTCTTGCGTTAAGATACCAAAAAGATGGCATACATCACAGACTAGCTAAATACAAGTACGACAGGAAAAGATCAAAGAGCTAATTCGTCCGTGTCTCTGATACTGGGCCGCATGCCTTCCACGAAGGGGTGCTTCATGGTGAGGCAGTAAATTTAGCCCGTTGAATATGGCATACGAATTTCCATATATCACTTGGAATCGTACGATATTGGCTTACAATGAATACGGCGATTAATTTGCTGGTGACGTCCAAGAAATAGGACCTGTCAACCACCTCTGACTAAATGTAGGGGACTTAGATATGTGAAAGCTGAGAGAAGTGATTTGTCCTTCTTCATCACCAACTCCTAAGAATGCCCTCCATCCCATGTGCT